GTATATTAATTTTTGCAAATAAATTAGTACCTTTACCAAAATACATTATTTCATTTTTTACTTAAACATTCAGTCATTATTGTGACAACAAGTCATTMTACTAGCAATAACCTAGTTTTTGCACCGTAGTAAGTTTTTTTGGCCGCCGCCATCCTTAAAAAAAAAACAAAGGCGGCGGCCGCAACCAATTCTACTAGTAGTAACACTTAGTATGCTCTGTGTAACAGGATTTCAATCGATAGTCACGTAGTGTACCTCGAGAACAGGTTCCGTCTAACCACCAACCGTCAAAAATTCGACTCCAATCAATCATCGCAGTCAGGGCTGTTGCCGTCCCGTACGAACTGAATGTAAAATTCCCCCATCATCCTTTGACGGAACTATTCATACCGGTACCGGTGATTTTTTCTCAGCAGACTTTTTGCACACAATTTGCTTCGTGTTGCGTCAATCAAACTATTGAAACAGAAACAAACTGTCTAAAAATTCTGGAACAATGGTGCTCTACATCATAGGTCTCGGTCTCAGTGACGAAAAGGATATCACTGTCCGAGGTTTGGAACTTGTCAAACAAGCTGACAGCATCTTTTTGGAAGCCTACACATCTATTTTGGGAGGTGTCCCGAAAGAGAAATTGGAAGCATTTTATGGCAAACCCGTGACTGTGGCCGATCGGGGTATGTGCGAAAACGATGCCGATGAGCTTATAATCGATCCAGCTAAGGAAAAGAATATAGCCTTTCTTGTCGTAGGCGATCCAGTATGTGCTACCACTCACACTGATCTAGTCTTGAGAGCGAAGGAGGTTGGTGTCAAGGTCGAAATGGTTCACAACGCCTCCATCATGGGTGCTGCCGGAGCATGCGGCTTGCAGCTCTACAACTATGGGCAGACTGTTAGTATCCCCTTCTTTGACGACAAGTGGAGGCCAACATCCTTTTATCCAAAAATCAAATACAACCGACGGGGAGGTATGCATACCCTTTGTCTACTCGATATAAAAGTAAAGGAACCTGACTTTGACGCCATGATGAAGGGACGAACAGAATTTTTGCCGCCACGTTACATGTCGGTGAACGTTGCTGCCGAACAACTTCTTGAAGCAGAAGAGAAACTCGGAGAAGGAGTCTATGACGGCAAAAAAACGCTTTGTGTTGGTTTGGCAAGAATGGGACAGCCGACTCAAAAAATAGTAGCAGGCACTCTGGAAGAGTTGACTCAAGCAGACCTCGGGGGACCGTTGCATTCATTGATCATCTGCGGTGAATTACACGATCTTGAATTGGATGTTGTGAAGGAGTACTTAATAGAAGGTTCCACATACCAGCGTGAATTCGAAGATAAATCTCAAGATAACGAGAACGGAGCTGAGAATTAATGGTTTTTCATACTCCGCGTCGATTATTGCAAAGAAACAACTTTTGTCTCGTCCCAAATCCGCCTGTGAAGCAGGGGAAACGTCATCTTCGTTTCTTTCTGATCTATAGCTAAAATTTTCGAGATTAGAATCAAGTTAGTCTCTAGCCGTCGATAACTTAATTTAATTCATTGATATCGAAGGTTGGTGCCTTCTGTCCTGTCAGTCGTTCATAGGCAAGTCTTGGAACTGCGTCCTTGAAGGCATCCTTTTCTCTTGCCTTTAGAATATCATCAAATCCTAGTTTCATCTCCTTTTGGATATCCAGATAAGCTCTTTTACAGGCATCTTTATCTTTCGGGTCGACTTCGTGTGTATGCGTTGGCTTGCCAAAAATGAAATAATTTCGAGAGGGTAGACCGGGAACCACTACTGGGGGTAAGAATAATTCATCCTGGTTGCCTAAATCGAAGCGTGCCGCTCTAACACTATTTGTGAAGTTCTTTGCCCTTTCACCAAGAACAGGCAGGTCGAGCAATTCTCTCGAATCGAGCAAGAAATTGAACGAATCAGCCATACCAACCGCGCTGACCGGAACTATGGTAGCGTTGAATCTCGCAGCTGTCCTGACAAAATCTACCTTGTCTGGCCAAAATAGTTGGTAGCTTTCGTCCCTGCCATGGAAAACCTCGCGAACACCCCCCGGGAAGAGCAATGCATTTTGTCCTGTTTGCATCAGTCGGTAAAAGTTCCTTGGCGTCACCATCACGGCTCCAAACTCTTCGAAATTCTGCATATTTTGAACACTGTTGCTTCTATCCGATATCGGCTCTTCTATTCCAGGGATTCGTCCTAAATCTCTGCTTTTTCGAAGCCTACTTCCAGATTCAAGTGCCGTGGCCCCTTGGAATATGATTGGATGCGCCAGCCCTCTTACAGGAATGTCGTTCTTATACAGCTTCCCAACTAACATACCTAGATCTCCCCCCACTAAACAATGGACGCACAAGTTTTATTCGAGAAATAATGATATGAGAGACTGATACTCCGAGGCGTGAAGTCGAGCGCGGGTCCCAATCGGTTATAGCTAGCCGAGAAATACAGCGAAGAGCCAACTTACAGAGTTGATGATTGGACACGAACAGTATTGGCCCCTCACGTGGGACATGACCTATTCCAAACGAGCGCTTTCCCTCCATGTTCGTACTGAGGAAAATCGGACTAAAATTGTCCTCGAGTTGCTTCACGCTTGTGCTCAATGTCTGATTCATATCATGCAACGAAGGGATTTCCCAGTCGGAAATTGGATCGTATTTCTTTTCTTGTGCCACCAGGGCCAGGGGATCAATATTGGAGTAGAGAATTGCTTCGGTCAAGTTTACATTCTCGTCAAGAATGAAATGCCCGGCGTTCTTCACCGTAAGTTCTTGGGATTGTGGGAGCAGCTTGGTCAGTCGCTTTGCTTCATCTTTCGAGTTGATCAGATTGTCTTTTTCCCCGCAAATGATCAACGACGGAATGTCGAGTTGCTTCAATAGTGATTCAACCAGCACCGAAGATCCGACCATTAACCAGTTTTTGATTCTGTGTTCCAGGAGATCCGGGGGCAAAAACTCAGAAGTTATATCGAACGATTCTAGAAACCCCTTAATGGTTTCCCCGATTCGCGAAGTATCTCGAATGCTTTCCATGTTTAAAAACGTATCGAACATTCTCTGGTATTGTTGCTCGCTCGGTATCACGGCCGACAAGGTCATGCCTCCGACAACAGAATAGAGGGATGGAAGCTGAAAGGGCCCTAGTTGCGTTGGTTCAGTTGGCGTTGTGAGTTTTCCTAGTGTGGTCAATATAGGTGCGAGAACATCCCAGGAAGAAGAGTCGAAGGAAGTGGCCGGGTTCACCAGAACCATTCCCTTGATGGGGAGTGTTCCTTCTTCGCCATCTCCCTTCTGTCCTGCTTGCTTGAGAACCTGCAATGCCACGGCAGATGTTAGCATTCCACMAAATGATTCTCCGATAATATACACCGGTCTGGTGCTGTTTCCTACAACATCGCTCAAGAACTGCACCGGTTTTTGCACCAAATCGTGAAAGGAGGTTCTGTCGTCTCCGTCGACAGTCATTCTCCACAATTCAAATGTCTTCGACAAGTCGTTGAATTGAAAGGACGCTGCCGATATTCCAAAGCCATCGAGTCCCGGAAGGTAGATAGCAATAGGTTTCTCTTCACCGTGTCGTTTCGCCACTTCTTTAAAAATCGATGTTGTGCTGTCGTGCTCCGCCTTGCTCATAATGTCGGAATCGGACATGATCACGTCCTCGTCCATCCAGTCTGCAGCCGACGTTGGTGGCGGAGTCACATAGGTAAACCGAACGGTGGGAGAATATTCCCGAACCACGGGTCCCTTGTCGCGCAACAATGTGTAGAGAGATCTGGAATCCCGGGCAATCTGACCCGTGGTATCGGGAGCATAGTTCTGCTTTTGCGGCGATCGCGTTGCCAACAAGGCAACGGAAACCTTTTTCAATGAACCCCACATGAAAACCAAAAATGATCAATCAGTAATGAGTCGGTCGATCGATGACAATGTTTTCCTATCGTGCCTGTCAGCTTCTAATTCCGATAATGTTCCTCCACAAATGGTCGATCCAACCGAGGCCGTACGGTCAGAAAAGTTGCACAATCACCGATAGCGAACAACCTTTTCTACCATATCGAATCGAATATGTACGGTACGTTGCCGTTTTGAGAGTTGCAGTTTCCCAGTTTACAGGTGTGTGACTACGAGGACCGAGTGAGTCAGTCGAAACGTGCCTGATACGGGATTCACCGAATGAATCACAATTACTTTAAACGAAAGGGATCGTGAACGGATTTCGTGCAGGTACGTACCTTACTTACGGTAATACTCGTACGCTCCGCTAAAGGAATACATTACTATACCTACATACGTACCGTACGTTTTGTAGRTACCTTGAAGATTAGAGAACTGTTCCACAATAATGAGTGAGCTTATTCACTATCTACTCGTGATTGAGTCTCAGACGCTGTTCCCAGGCTGTTGCGCAATAACAGTACCGTACGATGTACCGGTACTACGTATGTATGGTACAATACAGTATTGTACGTATGTAAATTACAGGAGCAAATCGTAGTAGCAAATACTGTAGGACTCATGCGGTACAACTGTTCTAGCTTAGCTTCCGGATAGTGGGAGGGACTGTACGTACCTGTACGAAGCACTGGTATCAAGTTTTGTGTCATACAGTATCATACAGTAGAAGGTATGAGTACGGAATGAGCAGTAATCTACTGTACCCCTCTGTACCGTACGGTACTACCTGGTTCTGTACCGAGCGAAGAAAGCATCGTCAAGAATCGGAAAGAAATCCTTCTCGAGTCTTTTCATTCAACGCTTAGAGGTCAATCAATCACTCGAGCTTCTCGAAAAAGAGCACCATACGGGAATAATTCCAGCCAAGCAACCATTACCATTACCATCGCCATCACCGGCAACGAAACAATAAATAAACAAAACCAAACAAGAACTCAATTTTCGAAGAACTCGATCGCATTGGGACAACTACGACACATTTTAGATTTGAAAACACACTCGAACAAAGAATAAAACTGAGAAGAATGGGGTGCGCATCTAGCACAGAAACGACGACAAATCACGTCACGGGAGAGACCAAAACCACGAGCAAATTGGGGGGTTCGTATCCCGGGAACCGCAGGCAAGCGCACAACCCCTACACACCGCCGGCCTCTCAGTTTTCGAATGGACAGGCCGTAAGTCACTTTGTGAGTTACGGGGGAGGAAACGCCCTCGTCCTGAAGGAGGGCGGCATCGCTCAGCCCCAGATCGGAGCCGGGACCGCAAAGCAACCGGAATACATCCAGGTGACACTCCCGCAGGGGGTCCATGGCGGCCAAACGATTCATGTGGCGGCGCCCGACGGTCGCTTGAACGAAATCGTCGTCCCCCAGGGCTTTGGACCCGGGTCGACTTTTACCGTAGAATTCGCAGATCCAAACGAAGCACAGCCAACGAAGACACAGGGATCCTACGGATCACCCCCAACAGCGGCCCCGGCCCAACCCGTTCCGCCTCAGGCATCGGACTACGACGATGGCTTTGCGACCGGCTTCAACAATCCCAATTTTGTTCCACAAACAGCTACCGCTAGCAGCGTCGGAGCGAATGATTATTCACATTACCCCAGTGCCACAGATGCCCAACCGATCTACGCGGCGGAAGCTCAACCCGTGTCGAACAACTATACTCCCAACTACACTCCGAACTACACTCCATATGTTACCAAGCCCTAACGAGTTGGATGTGACCGAGTGACCGAAAGGTAACAAGAGACCGAAGTTATTGTTGATGTACCGCAGAGAATGGTTTCCCAGCTTAGTTTTTGGCATCCTAGTCGTGATAAAGCCTCTTCTTTGACAGTAAAATTTATCGTTGAGTAWMGAATCCTCATTTATGAAATTTGAAGAACTCTACAGTCGTTGAAACAAATTGTCACCAAGTACTTTCCTCTASTAGTCGATATGCATCATCGTGAATCTTATTGTACGAATAATCTAAGATGATCGTTTCAGCACCCTGTTTCGGAATAAAATGCCCATAGGTGACGTCCTTATAGTCGTACGAACCATTATCAGCTTCGCCATCACGTCTCAATGTCTGTAGATTTTAAAAAATGCATGCAAACGTGATTATTCAGTGGATGTTACAAACTCAACAACCGTACTCGTCGCCATAATAGCTATCTAGCAAGATGATTTCGATGGCTAATCGGATAATGAAATGCTTACTGAGTGGAGAGAGGGACTTGAACATTGCCCGTTCCAAAGACGAAATGTTTCATAGGTTTTGCTTTGCTCATCTTTATTGCTTTCAGTTGCATGGATATGTATTATAGTCTTGGAGAAACCCTCCCTACAGTGTTACAGAGTAATACAGCACTGATTACTGGTGACCAAACCAATAGCCAAAAGGGGACAGATTGTGTCCAAGAAGAAGATTGCTTTACATAGTGTTACCCATCATTTGATAGTGATGCTGAGGCATTGTAATCCACCTTAGGACAGACTATTGACAACAGTAGGAAACCTAGTAGCAGCCTTCTCTGGGGTAACAATCAGAAAATATTTACATCAAAATCAAATATCAGATCTGAAAAAAGGCACTGTATAGTAACATACCCTTTACTCCATATCCTAGAAACACTAGGCAATTCAACTCTTTGTTGTTGCGGTAGTCTTGATTGGATACATGTTACTGGTATTACTAGCTATATCATATGGTGCATCATTTTTCATTCTTAACTAACAGCTGTCAATCTGATCAAAAGGGGAAAAAATCGTTACCAACTTTTAGAAAAATTGGCAAATAGAACCAAATAGGGGTTGCTTGTACTGGAAGCTCAAAACTGAACAGTGGAATAGATGACAAATTTAAAATTACAATAGGTACTACCACTAGTATAATTGGGGTGACAAGGAGAGAATGGTGGTGGAATCTGTGACTGCGATTTCACCAGTTTCTAACAAGAGTGAATAGAAATGCTTTGTGGTGTTGAAGTAGCAATTCCCACAATCAGTTGCTGGCATACAGAACTAAAGCTTAGAAACAATGATGAACCACTGCAGCTTGTTCTAAACTAGTAACTGTACTGTGCCACTACTACTAGGCTCACAAGTATTTTACTATGTGCATCATCAGCAAGAATAATACTACTGCTGGTGTCTTGATTGATTCTGAAATAAGTGTGGTGGGTAGTATTAAAATCATTGCCCCCCCCTTGATTTATTAGATTCTAGTAACTAGTACTAGTATATGCCTTTCAACAATGAGTATTTTCTTTGTCCACAAACAACACTGTCACAAGGTCCAAATCATGGATAGATTTTGCTCTCTACTAGTAGTACTACTAGTACTAGTAGCACGGGTGATGCTTCTTTGCTCTCCATGACCCACCACTAGCAGCATCAGGAGCTGATGAGGAGCAGGAGGCAGAATGGTGGTGGATAAGCAGCTACTACTGGCATGGATCATCATGATGTTTTTTGTTGGCGGCTGGACCAGCATCATGATGTTCTTGTTGTTACTATTGACGAAGACAAGAACAAGAAGAAGAACAACAAGAAGGGCCTACTACTAGTACTAGTACTAGTAGTATCTTCTTGTTGGCTATTTYGCACCAGGCCTTCTACTGCTGCTAGTAGAATTATACATGATTGTTAAGAATTAGAAGTATAAATTAAAGGTATCAACTTTTTTCTTTTGCTCAACAAGTCTACGCTGGCCAGACCCTTCTCTTCAATTGTTGTGAAACTCGTATTGGAGGTACGTACCGTAGTACAAACACAGCGATARATCTCATTGATTTGCACGCACCATGGTAGAGGGCAATAGTAGGTACGAGTACCTGCCTTAATTATTTATTACGAAGGATACGACAGTAACGGTACGTGAGATGCATGAGCGTATCCTGTGTCGCTGTGAGTCAGCAAGATCACCACAATTTGTTATGGTTGATGAATCAGGCTTCAAACGAGTACGAGTACGGAAAAAAAGACGGACCACCATCATCCGATCAACTGATCTGGTCCTTTTTTTACTACTAATAGCACTAGTACTAGCACTCGTACGCCGGATGAAGCGATGCCAGAGTTGTGAATCAAGAGCGAAGTACGGGTAGATACGAGTGCCGCGAGAAGTTTTCTGTGCCCAGTTCGTACTCGTGAGACGGCCTGTCATAGAGATTGGCATCAGAGTTTCAGATTGCGACAACCTACCAAAGCTAGAGAGCGAAGCAAAAATACAACCAACTAGCGAAAGAAAGACAACATCATGACAAAAAGCAAGTATCATATCTGTTTATATTATATCGGATTGCTTGCTTTTCTTCCGGGGTTGACAGAGTTTTCGGATGCCTTTCGAGCTGGAGATTTCTTGCAATCCTCGTCTCCAAATCGGAATTTGCAATCGAATTGTTTGCGATCTGTCGCGTCAACTTCCACACAACTCGGCCTATTCGACGCGGATGCCTCGTTTGTAGCAGGATCCGCGCTGTGGGGCCTCAATCTATACTACGGCTTCGATTGGATACTGGCACCACTCGGAACGGGACTGGACAGCGATTTCAACGCGGCGACGAGGGCTACAACGTTCTTGGGCAGGATCCTCTCTGGGAAATCGGTAACGGAGGCAGCGTCCCCACTCCAACTACTCGAGGATGGCGAAGCCGATGCCGAACGGCCCGAGATGGGATCACGGATTGGATCGGGGGCCAACATTGCGTACATAACGTCAACCATTGAGAGCGATGACGGCACGAACGACTGGCTGTCCGATCGAGAGGCTGGTTTGTCGTCGTCGGCACCGCTTCCACTCCAGCTGGCGGTAGCTCTCCTCTTCGGAATTGCCGGAATTGTGGCACAAACCATAACGCATTCCTTTCAAACGGCCGCCGTCCTGGTGATCCCGGCGCTGGTGTACGAGATTGGTCGCCCGTCGTTGCCCACCCGAGACGAGGCTATATTCGACGCTAAACTGGACGCTGCCGTCACGAAATTTGTGCAAGAAAAMGTGGTGGTGTACGGTCAGRAGGGAACACAGAACGAAGGCGTAGCGCCGGTGCGACGGGACGAGGCCACAAACGAGCGCGAATTGGTGACCGCATTTCGAAAGCAGCTTCAAGAAAACAAAGAAGAATCCGCAGGCCTCGAAAGCAGTGATGTCTCGGACTTTCAGATTGAGATGAAAATGCGATCATACGGGCAAGGCCGAAGTGTGGGAGGGTTCATCAAGGGGATCCGGTTGTTGCGAGATGAATGAAGTGTCAAAATGGTTCTTTAGCAATTAAGGTGTATGAAGTCTATCTTGTGAGCATTCATCTCGGTTGGTAACGAAGGCGTCTGTACCTTATCCTATGACACGGTTTRATACTAAGGCAGCACGATTATAGCACCATAAATACATCGTGTTTAACATCCGAGTAACGTGCTATCTGTACGATAGTACGCRTTTCCTTYATAACAGGGCGGGACGCGTCAAGAAGTCACTCCTTTCCTCCCACGGTATGCCATAACTGYAGTTTCCACTTTGCTTTCTGACCCCAGAAATGYCACACAAATGGTTTCGTTCGTCCATCGCTTCTTCGGGAATCGCCTAGGAACTTKTTCACCGCCGCGCTKTCGTTGCCTTCGCGGTGCTCTCGCAGTCTCTCTTGATGTCTCGATTGCTATCGCAGTTCCGAAGGCAGTTCGTCCTGCTTTTTGACCGCTTGCTGCGACACCATGGACGCATAGATGCCTCCCTCTCGTTGCAAGAGTTCCTCRTGGCTGCCCTGCTCCTGGACCCTGCCGCCGTCGATAACGCATATCGAGTCGGCGTTCACCACGGTTGACAGCCGGTGGGCTACCATTACGACCGTTGCGGAGCTCTCTGCGATTAGGTCCGCCAGGGCCTCCTGGACTGCCTCCTGGGACCGTTCGTCCAGAGCCGACGTGGCCTCGTCCAGCAAGATGATCTTGGGCTTGCGGAGAAAGACCCTCGCAATCGCCAGCCGCTGGCGCTGCCCACCCGAAATCCGGCCCCCGCGTTCTCCGATCCGCGTCTGGTACCCGTCCTTCATCGCACTGATGAACTCGTGGGCGTGTGCCTTCTTGGCGGCCGACACGACGTCCTCGAACGTATATTCGTCTTCGTCCAGTCCGTACGCAATGTTTTCTTCGACGGTAGACGCAAAGAGCTCGGTGTCCTGCGTGACCACCCCGAACAACCGGCGGAGCTGGTGAACCTTGAAGGACGGGTATGGCTTGCCATCTAGCAGAATCCTGCCGTTTTTCGGGTCATAGAACCGCAGCAACAAATTGATGATGGTGCTCTTTCCCCCACCGCTCCTGCCAACCAGCGCCAGGGTCTTGCCGGCGGGGATCTCGAGATCAAAGTCCTCCAGAACCTGGTTGTCGGGTCTCATCTGGTAATAAAAGCCAACACCTTGGAGCTGCAAGTGGCCCTGGATTTGGTCTTCCACCACGTCGGTTCCCACGCTGGGATCGATGTCCGGGTGGGAGTCCCACAGCGCAAAGACTTTTTCGGCCCCAGCCGCGGACCGGGTAAATGAGGTCACCAGGCCCTGCAGGTTCTGGTACGCGCCGTTCATCATGTTCCAGAAGAGCTGGTAGGTTACGAGGTCCCCCACAGTCATTTCTCCGCGGTAGACCAGCAATCCGCCGAAATACAAGATCAGAACGCCGGTGCCCAGGTCGAGGTATCCCGTCAGGGCCGACGTGACRCCGTTTCCCCATGCGTCCTTGACGCCGCAGTCGAGGGCCATGCGGTTGGTTTCCGAGTACTTTCTCAGCACGACCTCCTCGCACCCAAAGGCCTTGACGGTCCGAATGTGTGAGAGAGCCTGGGAGGCGATGCTGTTCCCCTGGGCCCAGTGGGAGAGCATTTCCTTGGCCAGCCCCTTGCTCCACAGCGCGTACTGTTCCCAGAGGTGAGAAATGGGTCCGACCGTCGAAAAGGCCAGCATCGACAGCCTGTAGGATTTTAGAAAGCACACGGCCATCCCTCCCATTAGCAAGAGCGAGTTGCTCAGGAGATTCGAGAGGGACGACTGGATGGGCGACATCATCACGTCCAGGTCGTTTGTGAGGCGCGACAAGAGGCGTCCCGATTCGGTGCCGTCAAAGTAGGCCACGTCCTGGACGAGTATTTTTTCAAAGAGGGCGTTCCGGACGGTGAACTTGAGCTTGCGCGAAACGAGCGTGAAAATGGCGGAGTAGAGCGTCGACAGGGCGCCCTGGGCGATCATGACAAAGACGTAGATCGTGATGCAGCGAACAAAGCCGTGCCTATCGTRGCGATCGGAACCGCTTCCGTTCCCGTTTTCGCCGCCCGCCCCGCCGTAAAACGTGTGGTTGGCACCCGTGACCGGAACCACCTCGTCGATGATCCTGCCCTGGACGTGCGGGAGCAACAGCCTCGTGGCGCTGGACAGGGCCAGGAGGAAAAAGCTCAGTGCDAGCCACGGCCATTCGGTCCGCCCGGCGACCCCCAGGGACCGCTCGACGTACTTTCGCGTGGAGAGGCTGGCCTCAGCACGGACCCCGCGGTCCCCCCGCAGGACGTGTTCTCCGACGACGGCGGCGTCCGTCCGGGCGCTGCACTTGAGGCAAATGTCAAAGTCGCAGAGGGCGCATCGGTAGCAGTATCCGGCGGATTTGCTCCCCGCGGAGTTCGCAGAAGGCGTCGTGGCTACGCGGCAAACGGCGGTAGGAGCCGCCGTTTGGTGGCTGCCGTTGTTTCTGTTGCTGCTACCGCCGCCGCGGTTGGGAGCGGCCGGCGTCGCCTGCTGGATCTTTTGGCCGCACAAATCGCACCAGTGCATCGCCATCGATCGGTGGTCGGTTTCCAGGTAGAGCGGATGGCGGTGGATCTCCGGGGGCAGGAAGAGGAGTCCCTCCTCCGAGTCCCGGGTCAACTCGACGACCAGGACGCTCACCAGGTAGGCCTCGGCGTTGATCCACAAAATGGTGGAACACAGCAGGACGATCCGGAGCACCGACCAGAGCCTCCCCGTTCCGTGGTGGTGGTGGTCGTCGTCGCTGCTTCCGGTGTCCGCGCATGCACCGCCCCCGTCCTGCATCGTGGCAACCCGAAAGCCGGCGTAGACCTGATACAGCGTGCAAAAGACAACGACCAAGACCAGCACCATCTTTTTTACCGCCTTTGGATCCCTAGGGACCGAGGCAGGACACCCGAGGGATCGCTCCCGCGCCGGTGGCGATTCCGTCGCCGGAAGGGAACCGCTGGGTGTGCCACCTCGTTCGCGGTTGCCTCGCAGGGACGGTTCTCCCGTGTCCAACTCGCGGTCCTGGCGGCCCGCTCCCAGGAGGGGCTCTTCCAGGGAACCAGGGGCACCGTTGGATTCGGTTTCGGTTTCGGCCTCTGTCTCGGTTTCGCTCCTGTCGCTGCCGCTGGGGATCGCGATCCCGGAAGCGGACCGCCCCCCGCTTTCTCYCTCCGGCGGCTCCCGGCGGTGGGTCCCCTCGTTCCCGAAGCGGACCCCCACCCAGAGCAGCAAGAGGGTCAGGGCGCAACGGCAGAGCGACAGGACGACGAAATCCCCGAGCGTTTCTGTTTCTGTTTCGCCTTGGCCCGGCCCGTGCGGAGGCAAGCCCTTAGAGGCTCCAAAAGAGGCGTGCAGGACCGAGTCCACCAGACACCGCCAGACAGAGGTTCCCCCGCTCCAGCAGCGGCTCTGTTGGGAACAGGCCATGGCCACCACCGAAACCGCCGAGGCCAGGTCGACCGCCAGGACCGCGCCCAGCAGGCCTCCAAAGACCCGGCGGGCGTTTGCCCGGACCTCCTCCTCCGTCCGGGCCCCGGCATTGAGCAGGCCGCTCACGGAGGCGCCGTTCACCCGCATCCGCCTCCGCGGTCCCGATCGGTGCCGCCCCGGTGGCATTTGGTGTCGTTTTTGTTGTGCTTGTGCTTGTSCTTGCTTTCTGCGTCACGGATGGACTCGCTGCTAACAGTGGGTAGGGCAGGAGACAAGGGTGCGAGTGTTTATTTATGTGCTTCGTGCCCCCGAAGGACCTCTACTATCCCACTGGATGCGATGCGATGCGATGCGATATGATTAGATGCGATTAGAATTGTATTGAATTGTATCGAATTTATTCGATGCGAGTTGATTCGATTCGATTCGATTCGATTCGATACGACTTGGTGCAATGGTTCTTTTTGTTGTTGCAATGGTTTTGTTTTGCTCACAGAACAGCGGGCCTAATGTACGCAAATAAGCAATGCTCGAGGCCAACAACCCTTTTGGTTTGTATCTTGCTGTATTCTATCTATCACGTGAGGGACGTCCTTTTTCCTCCATACTCGGAAGCTGCGGTTTGAGTCACAATCGAAAAGAGAGAGAAAAAAGAGGTGATTCCTAGTTCGTACCGTACGGTATGGTACGAGTACTACGTASTGCCGGTCGTTGTGGACTGCACACAAATTCCACCGTTTTCACCTAGCACTTACGTAACGTCCCGTACGGAACGTATGGCAGAGTACAAGACTACGTACGGTACCGGTGTCGTAAATTCCTTGTCAAATTCTGAAACGGGCACCGGGGGCGGAAGACCGACTGACTCGAATAGAAAGCGATGTTTCATTTCCCCGCGCTCCCACACCCGCCCGTGGAGCTACCGTGGAGTACGAGTAGGGTACGTACACTACCCAAACGGGTCCGAATTACGACGTGACAGCGTTTTAACAGGAAGAAAAAATTCTCAATCAAACCATGAGCTTTGCTGCTCAAAGCTTCTGCTGCTTTTGCAACTTTCTTCTTTGCTTCAAAGAGTTTGATCTCATCCAAATGTGTGGTTCTTTCCTTGGAAATAAATTAGTCATTTGTGTTGAGGGTCCCTTCGCCAGTTGAGATGAAGTGCTGGCTTGAATACTTAACCMCTGCAATCGCATCTTGGCAGGCTCTGGTATTGGGTTCGGTCACTTGTTGTACCAACTGCTTGCTCTTTCGTGGTGCATATTTGCGAAAAAATCAGCTTCGATGTCTGCGATTGGCAACAAAAGAACTGTATTGAAAGGAAGCGAGGGATCTTCATTTTGGCGGCCACAGAGTTCAAGGTAAAGAAAAAGAGCAGATTGAAAAGAATTTCGACGATGTATACATAGTAAACCCCGAAGAGCAAGAAAGAAAAAGATTTGTGAGATCTCAATGCGCCAAGGCGTTGGAAAAAAGCGGCGACTCACAAGAAAACACAATACCCTTCGTTCGGCTTTTCTTTGTCGAAGCGCAACACTTGGCATATAATGGTGGCTTCCTAATCCGTGTGCTTCGATGGATTACGCGCGAAAAAGATCATTAGGTCGATGGCAAGTGTTGCAAGCTAACCTTAGTCTTGGCAGGAACCACTTCTGCTCTAGCTAATTTTTTCCCGGAGACGGAACAGAAAGCTGGTGAATCGCGTACTTTGGTGTCACAAGGCAGTCTCCACTACAAGAAAGGAAAAGTGCCGTTCCCACCCTTTTTCATGCTACGAACAATARGTTGTTTATCACTATCATCGGAGGGGGCAATGCTTAAAAACGGATCGGAGTACGAATCGATGATTCGATATAGCCGTCCTCTTTTTGCAAAGCTGCACAAGAACAGTTTGTTTGATAAAGACAGAGTGTACGAAGTCGTAAAAAAGTTGTCTTCGGAGATCCCAACTGGAATGACAATAAGAAATCATGCTTGAGTGTGCTAGGAACACGCATCCAAATGGGGCCCACGAGTGCTCCGATTGTTTCAGACTTGGTTTCAAAAGGTTACGCTCACTTGACCTATTATGAACATGAACGAGATGACGTTCCGCACAGGGCATCTTTCTCATTCTTGCCAGATCCTGTTTGTGCTCGGATTGCCATGTGTCTTATGGATGATGAATTTAGGTTCAATGCCACTTCATATGGAGAAAAACTAGAGCACGATATCCACGGTGCCAAGAAGATAGAAATGGCCACCATGATGGGAGGGATTTTTTCTGAAGGAATATGCCTTCCTGCGAAAGGTGATTACGGCGAAATCGCAACGGCTTTGTACATTTTGTTTTGTGGTGATATACTTCATCAGGAATCGGAGGTGTACATCAATCATAGTGACTTGATCCAGGGCTCCTTTAGTGGCATCGGTATCAGTCCGAGAAGTAACCTAGCACGTTTCACTAGTCTTTACCGCAAAGCGGCGAAGGATCTGTTTACTAGGACTGTCAACTTTAAAACAGAAGAGCAGGAAGAAAGATAAGCAGTGTGCAGCAGTAATCGAAACTCTTACAATTCATACAGTGTCTTTTCTTATATCTGTGATTTAGAATATCTATGTTTTCAATTCCTTCGTAAAATTTTGTTAACAATTTTTTCGAGTTATCAGCACTGTTCTAAACTATCGATGGCGTTTGATCTTCTGCATGATAGTCCTAGTTGTCGATTGTTGGACTCGTTCTGGTCAGGGGCGACTCGCGCATCGTAATACTCACTCGCCGATCCGTCAGCAAATCGCAGTTGGCAATACCGTGCGAAAAGTCGTACCGGGCCTTTCCCGTCAGTACTTGGAGACAGCGTCGCTTGAGCAAGACCCGCTGCTCCGAGACGGCTAGGTTACGGTGCTTGGAAACGTTGCAAAAGGTCATGTAGCAATCCCCCAGGAGCGACAGGTTGGCAATTGCCTCCTTGCTCAGTTTGCGATCGTCCACGTGGGCCTTGAGCCAATGGCCCTGTCGCCGTCGATAGTCAATGGCATTGGCCTCGTTCGGCCAAAAGTTCTTGGTRGCGGGAAGATTCAATTGTCGAAGTTTTGGAAAGACAATTTCAGAGAGGACCTCCGGCAGGGGATTTTCGGGAGAATCAACTCTTCGATCTCGGAGATTGCAGTGCACGCCCCATCGTTTTCCAATGTGTTTTCCATTGAACCGACACTGTTTCCAGGCGGGAAGGACATCTCTATCAACGTTGACGCATGCCTTCAAGATCAGAGCTTCTTCTTCTTCAGTAATAAAATCTTCGTAGACAAAGAGTCCAGGAATGGGCTCGTAGGAGTGTGGGCGGAGTTGCTGGTGCTGTTTTGAGTGCAGGGCCTGATTGTTTCCACGTTCGCCTGCTTTGGCTTGGAATATAGGAGCCAATCGAGGAGTAACAATGCATGATTGTCTTTTTCTTTTTGCATTTGGTGTTTTAGTGAAGGAAGAATTCTGTTCAATGACATTTTCCAATGGTATAATCTCATCCCTCTCCTCACTTTTCGTTGGTTGTTTTGGAGTCGATTTCTCTTCAGGGCTTTTGCTTTCTACTGCGGTCGCTGTGCTTCTTTYAGCAGAATTTTTGTGATTGATAGCGATTCCGGTACATTCCGAAGCATGGTTCTCCAAAATATGCCAGGCAAAGGATAGTTGGCATAAGGGACACACCCCAAAGCCGCTACCACCATTGTGCGAGCGAAAGCTGGTTCCGGAAACCGGGCGCGGTCGCTTCTTGCCGGAGGACTGCCTGTTTTTTGCCTTGTCGTCTTTCGTTCCACCACCAAAGTAGGAAGTCAGTCGCTTCTGTTTGCCACTTTGATTTGATCCGAACATAGTTGCAGTCCTATTCGATTGGCGATCTATCTGAGAAAGCTGTAATGCAAAACTTATGATGAGCGGAACAACAAGGGAAGAAAAAAATGATTGACTCCAAAATCCGCGCCAGTTTTGGAATCCGTTGCCCAAAAGCATAAGTAAGGTTAGAGTTCAATCGCGCCTTCTCCCAAACGCAAACTAATCGAATTTGAATTCAAAAACTGAAAAAGAATGGAGAAATTTTCTCTTACCGCTGTTGTTACCCAAACCTGACAGCCCAATCATTGTTCAAATGTTCAATCACCGTCTACTCTATTGACATTCAAACCATTGTTGTTTGRCAGCACAATCAACCAAATCATACAAGAATATTGAATGATAGAAAGAGAAGTGGTGAGGAGAAAAGAAGATTGTGTTTTCAATTGAAAAGAGATCATTTCAAAGTGCCACCAGCATGACGAGCGGAACACAACCAAGAACCAACAAAGCCCCCAAGAGCTCCAGCAGCTCCAAAAGAAGTAATAGTGATCAAGAATGGTGGTTGCCTTCTTTTCCCCTCTGGAATTATTGGGATTTCTTCATGGCTGGTCCCAGAAACAATTTGATTGGACTTCTCGCCAGCAATTTGGTCAACGGAATGAACCAACACCTGGATCCAGATGGACCCTTCATCCAAAAGTCTTTTGGATGAGCATCTTCCTTCCAACAAGGATACCGTTTGAGAAAAGCTGCCATTTTATGATTCAACGATTGTGAGTATCAAACACCAGCGGGATGTCTATCTTCTGGGTGATGCCCACAAATACAAAGACCAACTCGTAAATGTTCCAAACAAGAATGATCGTGTTGTCACACAGTTTGCCTTTCCCCTCGGTGCCATCTCGCGAACCAGCCAAAATACTCCCAAAATGCTATTAGATGCCACTGCATTGGGGTATACCCAAATTGTGAATTTGGGATCCTAGTAGTTTGTCCAGTCGGCTACCATCAAGGAGTCCCTTTTGCCRATTGTGGTGGGTCTTCCCTCCAACTCACTTTGTGATACCATTTCGTCAACGGTCACCAACACAATTCCATTGGCACAGCCACCTTTGGATGTTGCCATGAAAAACGCTGTCATGGGCTTGATTCAAGATCCACAGGAGATTCTTGAAATGATCAAGAGCTGGACCCMAAAGATTTTGTGGACCAACGACAACTTTGTCTCAACAGCCAGCAAGGATTRAGGAATAGAACCTGCAGGTGGGCAATGTGGCCATTTCCAATGGTGAAAAGTTTGCARCTATTCTATTTTCAGGGACTGGTGAATGGTAGGAAAYGTTGGATAGCTCTCTTCAAAGTGACTGAACACCAACCATGCAAAAGAGTTTGAGAATTYGAGTGATTTGTTTTGAGACCAAAATTGCACAGACTCTGCTGTCGCCCAATGTCCAGTCTTCACTTTCAACACAATCACGACTAGAATTGCAGAACTCCTWTTGGCAAAAAGTAGAAGCCAGACAATATCCCGCCAATTCTACATCATGACTGCATGAAACAMGTCCATACTGGTAAAAAGTGACATGTAGTTGTAAGTAAAAGTTTATAACTTCTTGCTAAAATCTATCTTTTTTCAYTCCTAGTACTACTAGAGATGAATATTCCAAATGAATACAAAGTCGAATATGTGAACACAACAACACATTGTTCCAAATATGGTACCTTTTGCAATGACTTCTTCAGTAACAGTCTCGCTGTCTGGGTTGATCCACGATATGGTTTCTTCTACRAGATTATCCTGGTGGCGCAATCAACAAGACCTTGCCCATACCAAGAGGGACTCAAATCCTCCCATGACAGATGCCACAGAAAATCCGATTGTCCAGAGGCTAACATCAATGTCTCCTTCAGGTGGGGGGCATCAATGRCGTATGGAGTATCATCCCCTGTTTTTTGGCCAGGATGGAATGAGCAGCTGGGGACCCAGAAATTCCAAAAATACAACATCTGGAACCGCTTCCAAGCAAGAAATTCCATCTTCTATGTTTTGTTGGATCACATTGTAAACCTCATATGCAGCTACTTACATTGGTGTCTACTTGTCCTTCAACTCCAATGATAAAGGTAGTGGTGGTGTTGGAGGAAATGGTGCTTCTGAAGAAGGAAATCCAAATGGTGGTGGTGGTTCTGAAGGACCAGGGCCTCCCGAAGGAGTCAATGCAAAGGGCGAGAGGGAAYCAGGAGATCCCGTTCGACTTCTGACCCATCGAGACGAGCAAGAATGATACTAGTACTGTACGATGTTGTCGTACGTACCGAACGTAGGTACCGGAACGCGATCCTGACTCCTGACATTACCTATCACCTCCGTTCGATCGAAACGAAGATCCCGATCTGCCCAAAGGTCCGATGCGAAGAGGAACGGTACCGTACGAGTTCCAAAGCCCAGCCTTGATGGGAACAACTTACCGTACCCAGCCTCCGGAACAAGAACCCCGACACACACCGGGAGCATCGGGCCGATACRGTGCCACGGACCCAGACATTCCTGTGAGAAACCCAACGGGGACCGGCATACACGGAACAGCTAGCTACCAAGTACTTGTACTTGTACTTGTACTTGTACTTGTACTTGTACTTGTTTTTTAGCTAGCTACGGCGGTTTGTCCTCTCCGCGAGAAGGCTTTTTCGCCGAACACCAAGAAAGGCAAGGAAAACCGATCCAGCAAACAACAATTGGTCGTGAATGTGAATGCATCGCGGTCGTTCCATTCGTCAGAGAGCCAGGTATTGAGCGCCGGAATCGAGGGAGAACCGACCCTCGAAGGGTGGGGAGAAGGCACTGCCTTGGACCGAACGCAACACAAGAAGACGAGGCGAGGCGGGGCGAGGCGAGGCGAGGCGAGGCGAGAGAACAACCCAACCCACCAGGGGAAGAAGGCGCGGCGAGAGGCAAAGGAAGCATGCCGGCACTGCCGACAAACCCAGGGGGCCCGGTGCCGCCTCATACGGGCAACACCTCCGACCTGCTCCCGGGGCTCAGCGACGCCTCCTCCGCCGTCTTTCTCCTGAAGGACTACTCCCGCTTCGGCCTCGCGGAGCGGATCTGCTACCACTTCGACCTAACCGAGGCACTGGTGGCATCCGCATCCGTGTCCACACTATACAACGCTGCGGGTCCTTCCGGCAAGGATGATGCGAGAAGGCACGACGGCCAGAGCGARAGCGGTCCCGGAGCACAAGGGGACAAGGCCGAAGGGGGCCCTTCCCCGGTGGTTGATGCTGCTGCTCCCCCGTCGGCCTGCGGGGTGGTCCGGATCCTCGAGATGGCACCMGTGGCGGCGCCGATGGCGATCTCCCACCGCGTCTCCAAGCGACACCTGGTGCGGCAGAAACGCTTTCTCCGGAGAAAGCTGCGGGAATTCAACGAACGGGCCCGGGCSTTCCACAGCGGGGAGGCCGCCGCCGCCGCGGGGGGGACCCTCTGCTACCGGCCGCAGGACCTCCCGCTCCGGTGCAACCCCTCGACCAAGGTCCTATTCGGCTACGAAAAGACCAGGATCGCCTTTTGCGTCGACGCCTCCGCCAGCATGACGTCCCTCTTCGGAGTCAATGGGAGCCGGAACGCGGGGCGCCGGAGGGGGGGAAGCAGGCACGGCCTCTGCCCGCTGGACCGCCTGCCGGAAATGGCGCGGATCTTTTTCCGGTCCCTGGTCGAGCCCATCGGCAGCACCCCRGCGCAGGCGCCTTGGAGGCCGCTGGTCCACGTCACCGTCCTCGCCGTGTATCCAATGGGGAAGACGTCCGAGACCAGCCTGCTGGTCCGGGACTACCTCGTCCGRGACGCGGAATCCGCGGACAAGCTGGCCGACCGCATCGAGCRATGGACGCACACCGAGGTGGAGTCCGGAATCTCCGAGCGCCTCAGCCGGCGCCGGCCCGCAAACACCTGGTCCGTCCCGATCTACTCCTCGAACCTCCGGCACRTCCTGGAGGCGGGGGACTACGCCCTCGACGTCCTCTCGTCGGAGGCGAGGCCGGTCATCGTYGTGGCGACGGACGGCCGGTCGATCTCGTGTGAGGGCATCGTAGACGTCGTTCCGGACATTTCCCGTGTCGACATTCCTGTCCACGTCCTCGACGTGTCGCTGACCGAAACCCACACGATGGAGGAGGACGACGCGTCCCCGATGTCGAAGCAAGAGATCAACTTTTTGACGTACGATCCCGGAGGGTAAGTCCCGGTGGGGTTGGTCTCTGCCGTTCCGAACCGCGGGTACCGCAGCCGAACACTTGCGTTTCTCACACCCATACACCCGCGTTTTTCCACGCTTTTCCTTCGATTCTTTCGTGCCCACCGAACCCTCGTTGCAGCAACATGGGGTTTCCGCTGTACCTCACGGACGATTCCGAGGCCCTCTTCGTGGTGTGCCGGGCGACGGGGGGATGCTTTCTGGATCTCTCCCTGCTCTCCGAGGCAGCGAAGAGCACCGCGGGCCAGCAACAGTTGGCGGACGAGCTGGTCCAGCAATCKTATTCGTTCAAACGCAGATTTGTCAAGATGAACGGCCTGCAGTGGCTGACCCTGTTTTCGATGTCTCCGATCTCGCCGACGTTCAACTCCTCGTGGGGAAAACTCCTGCCTCCGTCGTACCTCCAAAAACAGCTCAGCAARTCCATGGTGGAAGGGACGGCATCGGCAACGATACAGCCRAGCTACGCTTCGGATGCACTGGAGGTCTTTCGCCACCAAAACAGCGCGCGACAAACCATTGCGAGCGATCCAAGCATCACGACGTCGTCGGGAAGGAGACAGCACGCCCAGAGCCGGACCACATTCTCCACGTATGTCGTATCGCCGGTGAGGATCAAAGCCCTGATACTKGCCAGAATCAAAGAGGGKTATCGTGCAAAGCAGTATGGTCTGAGCACCAACGACCCGGACAAAGTGTTCATACAATTCACGCTGCCTCTCGAATCGGGAACGATTTTACACTACGAGCTGTCCTACAAGTCGCTATCCCCGGAAAACCACATGGTGGGATCCGCGCACGTCAAGGTCGAACTGTCGGGCGATCCGGGATTTGTTCAAGCTGTAAARAACGACTTCCTCCACCAATTGTCACAAGCTCAGGAACAACGGTCGTTTACGGTTCGACAGAAACGATCGGAGCGATTGTGCCAAGTCATTCGGGGAATGCGCCGCGGAGACTTATTGCAGTCCTACCTGAAACCMCCCTCGAATTGGGACAACATATTGGCGAATCCGGGCTCTCCTTTTGTGAAGMGGCTCGGCACGCTGAAATCCATAGAAAGGAAACGGCATTTCCAGGCCGATCAATTGGATGTCGTTTGCACGGGAACCATTCCYTATGGGATCGACGATAAATTTCTGAGCGGATTCACGACGAACCAAGACGGTAGACGTGAATTRATCGATGCCATCACGGACTGGTCGAGCCAGACGATGACCAAAGGCTCGAAGTTTTTGAAGCGCGCACCAAACTCGGGGACGATGACAAACTATTGCGTTGTCGAGATAATCGAGTCGACCAAGGCTTCGCAACTTTTTACCATGGACATCGAGTTTTTTGGTGGAACCGATCCGATTCAGCGTTTCGAAACACTTTCTTCGTTGAAGACAACAATCAATCGGCTCAAAAATGTCGAAGTGCTGGGAAAACAAATAGCACCATTTCTTATTGGAAACAACAAAAAYGCATTCCTCAAGAACGATGTTCAGATCCAATTYCATCACGCAAGCTGGGATCTCGTCAAAGATTCCGAGCTGCTGTCCTTGTTGTCGAAAAGAAGGACGGAAATTGGAGGCTTCCGACTCCTTGAATCTAGAGATGACTACGCTCTTTTCGCCAAACTCGCATCCAAAACGCTGGATTCACCTGGTGATCTGGTGCAATACGAAATCGCGGTTCATGCCGAGAAGGTCGTCATTGATTTATACATGGAAAGCGAGAGCGGTGTCTTTAACCCATATTATGCTATTGGTGGGAGGGATATGAGTAAGTTTGGCAAAATGGTTAACGTCATACGGCGACGCGATCAAGAATGTGGAAGAGCATTAAAAAGCAGGACGACTTTGCTTCGAGCCTTCGAGGAACCAGTCGAGAACCAAGGAATGGAAGAAGATCACGAACTATGTGTGAAGAGACTTTTGGCCTACTCATCACGAGTGACGAGAAAACTCCGGTTTTTTAGGCTCTTTGGCGAGGTAAATAGTATTCTCGTAGAGCTGACCTCTGAGTTGTTGCTCTCAAAAATGTTTGGAGTGAAATCTGCTAGGCTTCGGGTTGACCCTCGCGTTCTAATCCGCGACGAGGAACCCGGTGTGTGGTTTATCCTCGAATATGATCGGCAAACGATGAGCATGAYACATCTCTCATTGGTCGACAATGCCGAGACCAACGAAAGCATTCAGACAATAAGAGAGCTGACATTCTTTACTATTGGAATTAGCGACTTATACAGCAAGCGTGATGATTTAGCCGATGACGATTCAGCAGAAAGTCACATCAGTGAATATCTATGCGTTTCAGACTTTGCCGATCGCTTCGAAGTCGAACAAGTGAAAAACTTTGCTCTAGCAGCATATCTTGCTTTGAGGCAAGCCTCTAATGCCGAAGACGCAAAAATACACAGAGCTGATTTCGATGAAGTTATTAAAAGCCTACAATTTGTCGAAGTGAGCAGCTTCCTTGTCACAGGAGCTAAACTCGATAATACCGAAGAGTATTCGAAACTTTTACGTTCAATCACAACAATTCTGAGTCCGGTTCCAGGCGATCAATATCATTTTTACTATTCTGGTCACTCAAAAATCGACATTCTCGAGGTGGGTGAAAACGAATCAGGTGATAGCTCTGGTGATGATTCAGTCAATTCTGGCGAAGATATCAATTCAATAGATTTCGTTGCACCGAAAGTTGGGGAGTTCGTTCTATCCAAGAATGATCACTCGGTTGAAGGAAATGATGCTGTTTGCATGAACAAGCAAGGCTCTTTGAACCCTCCAATATTTGTGCGGTTTCATTTGGATGGAAAATTAGCAACTATGGAAGATCTAAATCGAATCACAGAGAGCTCCATGCTCACCGTTACCGTTTCAATTTTCGGTTCAGATGAAGACGGATCAGATGATTCACCGTCAATACAGTTGCCAGTTTCTCATCAAACGTTTGCRTTGGAAATCGGGACTCTGCTGAGATCATATATAGCGGAGCAGACTCTGGAAAGGATTCAAAACATAAACTATTCCGATGAAAGCTTGCAATTAGTACGAAAATGCATGGCAAAGATCAGGAGCGTTGTTTCGTTTGTGATTGAAATATATTTCTTTATATCTCAACGGAACATGATGATGCCTGCTGCAGCACCAGCTGGGGGAGAAGCTGAGGTCGAAGAGGGATTGCACATTTTGGAGATCGATCTAGTGAAYAATGGACACTTCATCCTACGACCTTTAAACGACGGTGTRTACTTTCTCTCAAGAATAGTAGAAGATGATGCCCCACTCCAGTTTTGGTGCTTATTGAAACTTCAAAGAAGCAATGGCACAATATCTTCACAGATTTATCATCCGGAAGGAGAGGAAGTTGCAATGAGTGCAATGGCGCATATCCATGGTGTAGTGTGTTCCTGTATCAACCTTGTGAACCAACAACTTCTATTGAGAAGGTAAGCTTTTCAGGTAATGTTTTGCTGTTATATTTATTTTTGTACCATAGCGCAACTAAAATCTGTCTACCGCAGCATGCATCGAACGCGTACAGTCTCTGAGCTACTGATACCAAACTCGACTCAACAGTCAGCAGGTTTGGCTGATACGGAGATTGAAAGAATTGCGTCAGACACATTTGTTCCAGGAATATTTCAATGCCCTATCGTTTATCGTAAACTCTTCGGACTGTATCACAGAGCAGCAACAAATCCTGGCCAAGTTGCTCGAACACTCGAAGCCACCGTACTTCATAATTTTGCCGTTTCAAATAGGCCGGGAATTTTTGTGTACAAGGATGAGACTGGTGCAATATTCTACATGAAACTTGAGCCTAGGGGAAGTGGGATAGATTCTGATGGCCATGTTGAACTACTTGTTTATGGGATCAAGAAGCCGGGCCCATCGGTCACCGAACAACTCCGTGTTCTTCTCCAAAGAAGACTTTTGCACATAGGTGTGGATATGCTCTCCTCGGTTTTGACAAAGAACCCACATTTTAAATGGAAGCAAGCCGACTTTCTGTTCTTACGCTCGTTCGATAGTGAATGGAAAAAGTTGGAGAAAGAAAAAGTGAATGAAGGAAATGGCCATTACTATTACAAGTTCCCATGTAAAGTTTATGACCCGTGTATGGTTTTACTTTTCTTTCGACAAAATCTCTGTGGGACTACTTTCTTCCATAGATTGAATGACATAAGTCAAGATGGGAGTTCTCCCAGTCCAACCATTGGCCTTGATGGTATGCTGACATCTGGAGGAACCACCCTGAATATGAATGACCACGAGTTTTCTCTGTATTTTAACAATGCGCCTTCCAAGCTTGATCCTGCATTTCAAGGGTTTAACACTTTGACTGAGAAAGGCGAAGACTATTGTAGAAAAATCGGCCCAGGAATTGCAATCGTAGAATTCACTTTGATCGATGGTAAGGGAAATAGTCTGAATAAACTGCATTTTGCAGAGCCGGCGAATGAAAGTTCTAGCTTTCCTGAGTTGCCTCTCAGCGATATAAGGATGCGGTGTTTTGCTGAAAGACCTTCTGACAGTCTAGACGACTCGGTCTATGTCCGCATCAGAATTACAGACACTGCGCTAAAGCGAGAAATATTGAATCAATGGATTTTGCTCACTTTTAATCAAGCCCTGATTGCTTGGGTTACTGAGAGAATGCTCGAACGATCGTTTTATGGTCTTTTGAGGCCGGTTAAGGATTGCAGTATTAATAAGCTTGACATGAAACGAAAGGTCCTGGTCGATAAATTGTGCCCTGGACTCCCTACCATCAACACTATATTGGAGTCCTCGTATAACCTACCACATGCTGCAATCCAAAGATACGAAAACTCTGGTGTAATACGCTCCTCAATGGTTGCAACTCTAACGCTTGACCTACTGGAAAACTGTATCCTGAAACCATTGGTTGAGAAGAAAATGATCACCATTGTCGATGGTGGCGATGATTGGTCAAAGTGTTCACTGTCTGAAAAATTTAATTTGAACCTCTGTGTCATAAGACTTTCAAGATCAGAGAAGCCTCATATTGCGCACCTGAAATGGAATGCTAGTGGTCGTAAGAAGGCAGCAGTATCGATTTCTTCAAAAAATGGGATTTCAAGACCCGTAGAAGACTCCCCGGTAGATTGCCCCGAGTATATCTGTTTCTTCACTGTGGCAGAACGAGACCGTAATATTAAAGGAATTGATTCTCAGCTGAGATTATACCGAGAGGTGGTGATCCATGATGGAATAAGCGAAAAAAGCGAGTCAATCGATTTGTTGGAATCGGTGAGGGGGAAAAGTCCACGAGCATTTCTGCGTTCATTCTCCTTTATATTTTCGGTCAAACGCAACTCACGACGCCTGTGGACATATAACTGGAATCCGAAACTTGTGAAAAGGTGAGTGAGTCGGTTTTCTACAGCCTGTTGTTTTCGCTCTCTAATCATGTCTCTGAATACAAACATTTACTTTTCCTGCATTAGTGTGAAGACATTGATTCACGAAGTCGAAGCATCGAACCTTGCAGATACGAGTCGTGAATCATCTATATTGCAGCGGCGTTTACTAGGAGCACTATCTCCGGGTTTAGTTGAAGCTACCAGTAAAAAGAATACCCAACAGAAAATCCAACACATCTCCCCAGTTTCAGAARTCTCTTCAAGTCAGGGAAAAGAGAAAAAATCTAGTATTGAAACTTCTACAGACGGACCAACGAGAAGAATAAGGCGTCCCACTATGATTCGCCGGCCTAAGCTCATTGGAAAGTCGGTCGAGGGGGCGGCAATGCAGGCCATGGCTGCAAGTAGAAAACGTGCAAGTACAAACCAATTCAAGAACATAACGAATCCTTCAGCCGGAACGAAAGCCCCGTCGAGACTACAAGTGAATCAAAACAGTAGAAATGCACGAGGAAATCTCGCAGGGAAGACGCAATCCAATTCCATTCGATCTCAGAGAAGGGCTTCTCGGATCCAAGAGGAGGAAAGAGACGAAACTTTGAGTCGAGTTTTGAATGATTATTTTCGCCTCTGTTCAAGGCCCCAAGCTCAACTTAGACGTTTGAGTTTGATACAGAGCCAAGCCCGGTCGCAACTCGCAGATATTTGGTGGCCTCAAAGCCAATCTCAAACTATCCCGAAGTCAGTAGCCGAGTTTTTGATTTCAGTTGCACCGAATGCATGGAATGACGTCTGTGCTCTACCACCACTACCCGGGGGCGTCTTTGACGTTTTTATCCCCACGTTAGCCAGATGGGTGGTGGCGCTTACACCTGGTCTAGAACTTCTTCCGGTGTCATTGTCCCTGAATCAAGTGACCAAGAGAGTCGATTCATTACTACTGTGCTCTAAAATTCGGAATGTCCGCGGAAGCAAATGCTGCGCGATCACACGAATCTCGGTCGTTGGGCGTAAAAGTACGAAGCAGGGACTCTCCTTAGTGAGGTCGGAGGGATGGGTTTTGAATTTAMGAAGACGCTCCAAATCATCAAAAATAGCGAACAAACGTCGAAAAGTGAGATCGTCATATCTTACAGAAAAGGATTCTGCTGCAATGGACAAGCTCTTAAAAGACGTTCATGTGAGTTTGCGACTTTGCCGCTTGTCGTAAACACATAATTTGTGTCTAACAATRTATCTCTTTCTAGCATTCTTTGTTTTTGCAAAGCTTACTATTTGATTTCAGTGCTTCAATGGTGGAGAGGGCAGTCAGACTACTTGATGAAAGGATACATTTCAACGATCTTGTTCCAACCGTACAAGAACTAACGAGGCGTTATTCATATGGAAAGCAAAAGCGGTAAGATACCTTCGACCGAGAAATATGAGCATTTCTACCATTCAATTCGTCGACTCAACAAATCCACCTTTATATTTTCTAGAATGCCAATGTTGAATCATCGAGCGTTTGAAGCAACTATCGTTCTCAAATCATACAATGACAGACTTATTGATATGTTTGACGCAAAAATACTGTTCGAAAGACTTTGCATCGAAGCTGAGGATCGCGAGATGTTAAGATGTGGAAATTCCTTGTGTTTGAAATCAATCAGTATGAAAGGAAGTCACTGTAAGTATTTACTCTCGTAGTATTTCTGCACCTGAGACCAAGCGGTAACACCATTCTAACTTTCTCCATTATGTCACTGTGACAGCTATGTGTTTCATCACTCTACATCCAGAGGATGCGAAAAAGATGAAATTGGTCATTTTGAGTCGCACACAGGGCCTTGACCTTGCTGATTTTATGTTCAGGGAAGGTAGCAATGTTGCAATTCATATTCTTGACAATATCGCAATTGAAGGTAGCCGCCTTGCTCTGAAGGAATTACACTTTGTTGCAGAATGTCTCCTGAAAGATAGCTTATGGAAGTCATTCTCCTCTAGAAGGTCACCACATACTTCATTCCAATCCACAATCCACAAAATGCCACAACAACAGAACTTAGATGAGCTATTAAGGCTTGTTCCATCACATCCTTTTCTCCAGCTACCCATGAGTGGAAGTTTCAGAATTGATAGGATCAATCCTGATATTTCTTTTCTTTTTGACAAGGAATCTGGAATTAACTGGTTATCATGCTGCTCAAGTATGAAACAAAACAAATTCTTTTCCCCTCATTCTTACACTGAAGAGAGGGGCTTTATCAACAACCTTTTCTATATGGAGTCTTATGATGTKTTCCTGATGATAGTAGTGAAACGGGACGCATCACTGCTCAGAATTGATGTGATTGAGAAGAAGCGTGCTCCGGACAAATACCATTTGATCTTTGATTCTGTGGTCAATTTCATTTTACATTTTGTCTGGTACAATCTTTGAGATTAACTTCTGGTGGTGACTACTACATCATAATGAAAGTACTACTAGTAGTACTACTACTAGTACTGCCAGTAGTACTACCACCACCCAGTACGATGCTTACTATTAGTAGTACTAGTACTAGAAGAAGTACCAGTCAAGCTGGCGAATAGAGAAATATTATTGTTCAGTTTTGTGGAGTGGTACTAGCCACTTACATAATGACTGTTTGATTAGTATAAGGTCTCTGGTATCTATCTAGCTATGGAACACATTAAGATTACGAGTTTTAAGCATAGGTGTTAATGATAGTGGTACCGGTACCTGCTGTACCAAAATCGCCTGAAGAAGTAATATTCAACGTTCAAAAAAGAGACTAAGATTAAAAAAGAGATTCTAAATGTGCTTCTGACGGACCGGTACAGACCGCGTATGTTACAACCACGGATAGCGTAATACCGATAGGGAAGATTTTACGAAATCCAGGACATGTCACTACACAGGAACTGATATCGACCACATCAATCAAAAACATTGTACTCCGATGAGAGAACAAACTAGGAATAAAAATACCCAGAAGAAAATTTCTCAAAGTCAAGATCAAACGAAAGGGAAACAATGGTGTTTTTCAGCTGCGATGGGTGCGGAGAAATGCTGAAAAAGAATAAGGTAGATGCACATGCAGCAAGATGTCGCCAGTGCGCTTCGGTTAGCTGTGTGGACTGCTCGGTGTCATTCTGGGGTGGTAAGTTCGAATTCGATGATTCTACCGATTTTTTCCGATGATTACAAAACCATGAAACTCGATCTTGGCGTATATGCCAATGTGAGCAATTTCTAAATGTTTTAATTAAACTATGCAGGAAAGAGAAATGCACAGCAAGTTATATTGTTTTGGGAGTAACTACGTGTTCTAATCACGCCTGCCCGTTTATTGTTCCTAATCGCACGACCATCAAATCTAGATAGACGACTATCGTTTGCATACTTCCTGCATATCAGAGGCTGAACGTTATGAGAAGTCAGTTTATTCAAAACCTAAGAAAACGAAGCGCAATCCTCAGCAAGAATGGATGGACATTGTAGAAACGTGCGCGTCTTCAGCTCCACCCCATTTAAGTCATCACTTCAATACTATGACAACACTTGACAATATCCCTCGGCAAGAGAAAAAATTTGTCAATTTTGCATCGAATTCATTACAATTGAGGGGTCACAATAAAAAAATTGTTGACGAGATATGGAGTTGCTTAAAACAAGAAAGAGAGAAACGAATTGCAGAAAGAGATAGACAACAAAAGGAGGAAAAAGAAAAGAAAGAACTTGCAGAAAAGGAAAAACAACAACAGCTTGAAAGAGCAGCCGCTAGTCGTAAATCAGAAGAAAAAAAGTTTTCGAAGAATGGTGGAGACAATGACCTGCCGATTGACGCCAAACAAGTGAAAAAGATTGCTAAGAAAACGCTGAAGAAAGCGCAGGGGAAGTCTATGGCAATTAAAGCATTGAGAAAGACAGTGGGGAAAGAATTGGGCCTCCCAAAGAGCGCGAAGAAACAACTAAAAAAGATTTTGCTTGAAACCGCTAAGGCTAGCAAGGACAAAATAATCATTGACGGGGAGATAATTCGACTGAAAATGAATGAATAGCTACTGATGACAATTTGTATAATACAATAATGTATTCCATTGTACTCACTACGTTTTATTTATTAGAAAGCTTTTCCAGCATAAAGAATCGTGAGTTTTTTAGTAGAATACAAGTTTTAATCCTCATCTGAAGATGACCCGTAGCCAGAGAGCAGACTACCTAATCCACCAGCACTTTCGTCACGTTTCACATCCGCAGATGACATCTCAACTCTCTTTTCAGACGAAGGATTGACCTCGTTCAGGTCTGATGTGTAGCCWTTTTCTAGTTTGGAAGCTTCCCCCTTCGCAATATTCGTTTGCTTTGATTGCGTATCGAGTGGATTTGTGCGCCGTTTCCGTTTCCTTACTTTGATGACGGGTAAACTACAACCGGCCTGACCGGGGTTCGTTTCTCTCTTTTCTGCTAACGCTTCCGATGCATTACCGTTCATTATGAATATTTTAGCAGCTTGGTCTTCGGCGTTGCTTTCATCATTCTCGTCATCTTTGTCCTCTCCGCTGAGCGCGGCTTGTTTCTTCAGAGCCCTAGCGGCACGAAATTCCTTTAACTCGTTTTCAGTTCGTTCTTGAATTTTTCGTTCTCGGTCAGATCGCTGCCTCTCGATAGCATTCAAGTGAGCGACATCATCTTCGTCCAATGCGCAAGTGCTCCGCATCAAAAGCCTTTCCTGCTCCTCTTTCTTCTCCTGATCTTGTTCTTGGTTAGATCGGAGTTGCTCGAATAGTGGCTTGTGAGCATTGCGACGATTCACGGCCTCGGTTTCTTTGTTTTCAATTGGTTTTTCTTCGAAACCACCATCGGAGGTCCCTATTTGAACGGCCGAAGAAACAAACGACAGACTCATTGTTATGCAAGACCTGACTTCGTATTCTTGAATGAAGGTTTGTTTTGTGAAATAACAGTGTTGGAACAGGGTCTCCTCGAGCTCGAACAGACTGTTCGTGCGAACTTCCTGAGGGATGAAGACTTACTACGGTAGTGCGGTACGTACCAACGAGTTCTTCGTAATGCCTATTCGTACCATACTGTACGTACAGGTCGTACTGCTGATACGTACCATACATATTTTTTTTGGTGCTCTAATTTGTGCAAATTGTGTACTGTATCATCGACTCAACTGACTCCAACGGTAGCATGCATCACAAGTCACAAAAGGGTTCTTTTCTGAAAAGCAATTCAATGCAATCATTGCAGAAATTGTTTTCTCATTTTTTCAATCGTAGACGAGCCGAACAGAGAGGAACGACTGTCACAACGACAWCTGTACAATTCACTTTCACTGTCAACATCCTTTCGATAGCACACATCATCCATAGTCATGATGAACTCCCGAGTTGTCTCACTAGTATCGTCATCTGAACGGCTACTAGCATTACGTAGAGCCAGTCACCGCTGCAATCGCTTCGGCCGYAGCAAGACATCCGTTCGGTTCATATCATCATCTGATTTGATTGTAAATCTGAAAACCGACAGATCGCATTTTGAGAATAGACCGAAAAAGGAAGACCTTGTTTTTGGGCATACATTTACAGATCACATGCTGACAATAGAATGGGATACCAAAAGCGGATGGGGCAAACCAAAAATTAGTCCCTACCAGAATCTACAGATCAGTCCTGCCGCTTCGAGTCTTCATTATGGTGAGAGAACTGAAACATCGGTCATAAGATTTCGGCATGCTTCACAACTTGATTCGATCGCATTTCACTTKGCTAGGAAAGACTCAACACGGTTTTTTGAAAATCATGCGTACTACATTTCTAGGGTTGGAATGCTTCGAAGGGATGAAAGCGTATCGTTCTTCGGAGGACGAAGATTCTATCAATCTTTTCCGTCCCGACAAAAACATGGAAGTGAGTAGAAAAGTTTTTTGTCCCCTAGAACAAGATTGCCGAGTTATCGCCCCCCCCCCCTCAAAAAGATGTTGTCGTTGTCGTTCCTGCTATGTTCTCGATCGCGAAGCGCCTGACAAACTCAATGGATCGTCTACAGATGCCCGGAACCGATTTTGAGAACAAGGAACTGGTCAATCTAATCGGTGAGCTCGTGAAGATAGACAAGGACTGGATTCCGTCTGGAGAGGGATATAGCTTGTACATTCGACCGACAGTTATCGCCACCCACCAGTTTTTGGGAGTGGCACCACCCGAAAGTATATTGTTGTTCGTGATCTGTTCACCAGTGGGCCCGTACTACAAAACAGGATTCGATCCAATCAAATTAACAGCAGATACAGACTGYGTTCGGGCATGGCCTGGAGGTACAGGTGAGTAGWGGCGTGCAGAGGTGTTGATGAATGCGACGTACAATTGATTCCAATGCAAATTATGTCGATATTGCCGATAATGGACACTGCCAGTAAATCAGAATTTGTCACTGTTTGTTAGCCCCACACCGACCAGTTGAGTCTRCTAGGTTTTCGCTATCTACTCATACGTTTTTGYCATGAAAYAACTCTACTTTCTTCAAAGGGAACGCAAAAGTGGGTGGGAATTATGCTGCRACAATGAAGCCGGCTGCAGTTGCAGCGGCGAAGGGTTATTCCCAAATTTTATGGCTGTATGGAGAAAACGACGAAGTTACTGAAGTCGGCGCTATGAATTTTTTTGTTTATTGGATAAACAAAGACACCAATCGACCTGAACTAGTGACCGCGTCGCTAGATCGGGGAGATATTCTGCCTGGGGTAACAAGGGATAGTATCTTAGAGCTCRCACGTGAGTGGGGYGACTTCGATGTGTCAGAGCGTAGCATCACCATGAACGAAATCAAAGAAGCAAGCCAAGAGAATAGACTATTGGAGGCATTTGGAGCTGGGACAGCAGCCGTTGTGACGCCAGTTTCCTGCATCCAATACAAGGGGGAAGACATCGCGATTCCCGCTGTTGGTGATCTCACAAGACGGGTATGGGATGAGATCGTCGGCATACAATACCGCAAAATCGATGGACCCCCTGGGTGGATTGTTGAGTTGTAATTGTAAAGAAATAATTACTTTCTTGTTGTCATTCCACTTCTACTGTGTACAGTTCTTTTAGTAGTARTATTTAGTAATACTTCTTTCAACTCAGTTTCGTGTGTGAGGAATAGACCAATAAAATGAAACCTYATATTTTCGGCCAAAATAACTGCACTATACTGTTACCAATCAGACTAACAATGATGATGRTTTATTGTAATATGATTATATAAATGCATTATATCTTATTTCACCAGCAGTACTAGTACTAGTAGTACTACACGTAAAACAACAATTGAAATTATGTTAATTGACGCACTGGGAACATTAATTTAAAATTCTGAATGTTATTTTAGCATAAGTAATGTTAATATATAACTGTAGGCCTATGTATATCCTAGTATTACCCATTCCCTAGTAGAATGAGTTTGGTCTTATTTCCTAAAAAAGAGGAGGAAGAAGTGGACACCTCACCTGCTGACATTCAGACTGTTGCAAAAACTGCAGTACTACTCATTTCTACATAGGCCTACACTGTTATTGGTTGGAATGTTAAATTGACGTTCCCAATGCCTCAATTGATGTAATTTCAATTGTTGCTTTAAGCATAGTACTTGTATTGCTGGTAGTGTTGCATGGTGTAACTGTATCTTCTGAAAAAGCAGCATGATATTCCATACCATTGTCTACTAGTAAAGCATTTTACTAATTCTCTACAGCCATGTTTCTTTGAAAMTATCAAATTAAGAAATGGGCTTGTCTTTCCACACTTCCACATGCAATATGCTAGGAAAGGAAAGCAATTTTTAGGCAATACATTCAGTAGCCATGCAAAACATCTTTTGTAGGGGGGGGAATGCAAGAAACAACAATTATCAAAGAATGAGAACTCATTCCAAGAAGAAGCAAAAAGAAGTTCAAACAAAATACTGTAACCATCGACTTTTCCCATCTTTGACCTGAATCCCCCCTTTTTGGAAAAATGTTATTGAAATTTGCATGTCTGAAGAGATTGAAATATATCAAGATGTGAGAACTTTTCTGCTTATTCAAAACTCC